GTGGTTAAGAGCACTTGCCTCTCTTGCAGAGGACCTGGATTTGGTTCTGAGTGTTCATTCCTCTAGTTGGCATCGTGAACCTGGGAAAGCTGGGCCAAAAATGAGGCAGACTAAAGTCTCACGCAATAGCCCTTTTTCCTTTCTTTCTTTCTTTTTTTCTTTCTTTCTTCTTCTTTTTTTTTTTTTTTTTGTTTTGTTTTGAGACAGGGTTTCTCTGTATTGCTTTGGAGCCTGTCCTGGAACTAGCTTTGTAGGCCTTGAACTCACAGCGATCCTCCTGCCTCTGCCTCCCGAGTGCTGAGATCAAAGGCGTGCATCACCAACACCCAGCTGCAATAGCCAATTTTATTTAGACCAGTAGACAATTTATAATCTGAGGGTTAAGAGTCACATGAGTAAAGTGTACAATCACAAGGATAAGCTGCACATGGCAAAAACACTTTTCTCCACAGAGGCATATAAACTGGTAACAATATCCAGTTGTGATGAATAATCTAAATTAAACTCAGTCCTATCTGCCATACCTGGGAGAGACGCAAAAGCACATTCTAAGAATAATTCCATGGCTGGGCAGTGGTTGTGCACACCTTTGACCCCAGCACTCAGGAGGCAGAGGCAAAGGATCTCTGTGAGTTCGAGACCAGCCTGGTCTACAAGAGCTAGCTAGTTCCAGGACAGTTTCCAAAGACACAGAGAAACCTTGTCTCGAAAACCAAAAAAAAAAAAAAAAAACCAAAAACAAAAACAACCCCCCCCAAAAAAAGAACAATTCCATGTTTTTGAAGAAACCAAGGTCACAAAACTCTTGTTTTCTTGGAGTTTTCTCACTCAGAATTCCCCTCACACAATTCCATTCTTGGACTGTATTCAGGGACCCAGCACCCACACGGTAGCTCACAACTGTCCGTCATTCAAGATGCAGTGAATCCGATGCTTTATTTTGACTTCTACAGGCTGAGGGAACACAGATACATGTGGTGCACATGCATACATACATGCTTGCAAAACACTCATTCATAAAATAAACACATCTTTTAAAACATTTGAAGAATGCCCCAGATTTTGTTGTTGCTTTGTTTTGTTGTTTGTGTTTTTGTTTGTTTTACATGAGGCAAATGGACGGAATGAGTTCCACAGTTTGCCCTAAAGTCAAAAGTGGGGAAAAAAGAGGACCAGTCTGCAGCCTGTTTCACTGTAAAGGATACGCGACCCCCACTATCTCTTGTGGTACTCTATGTTAACAGTCCTGAAATCAGCAGGACATGGTGGCACACACCTATAATTCTTCCACTTGGGAGGTGGAGGCAGAAAGGTCAACTCAGACGCATCCTCAGCTAAATGAAAGAGACCAGCCTGAGCTACAAGAGACCCTGGCTCAAAACAAACCAACAAACACCTCCTACCCCCACCCCTGGTAAAATACAGTAACAGTCCTTTCATTTCTCATTGCCTCTCATCCCTACTCTGCGTTTCTAGACATTCTGTGTCCATTCATGGTATATATAAATCCATTTTCTTCTTAACAAGTCAGTTAAACTCATTGGCTCAGTTCTCTAGCTTAGTCAGGAAGCCTGTACGGAGTCTCAGACTGAATGTCCGGCAGGATTTGTGCACGCCCGGTAGCATGATGCACATGCCCACTAACACTAACACTTTTGATAGTCTCTCTCCACCCAGATATATCACTACTGTCTCCACCTCTCGAGTGCTAGGATTAAAGGAATGTGACCTTAAGTGCTGGGATTACCTTTGTGTGAGTTCTTTCTCTTTTAGACAGAATCAATCTGTGTAGTCCAGGGTGGCCTTGAACTCACAGAGATCCGTCTGCCTCTGTCTCCAGAATGCTGGGCTGATGCAGGTGCTGGAATTGAACCTGGTTCCTCTGCACCAGCAGTTTGTGCTCTTAAATGCTGAGCTACCTCTCCACCCCACCGCCAACCCCTACCCCCGCAGAATTAGGTTTAAATGGAAGACAATCTTAGTGGAACTCCCCGACCCCTCCCCACCCTCCACCCCCAGCACCCGCCTCTGTCTCTGGCTCCAGTCTGTTCTGCAAAGTGTTCTAAGAAGTTGTTAGAACTGTGTGAAATCTATTTTCCTGTTCTCACTGCCTTCTGGCTTCAGCATATTCCTTCCCCTATCATGAGGTTTCTATTTCTGGGATCCATTGTCTCAATAGTCTGCAAAGGAAGGGGCGCAAATGTCTCTTTAGAATATCATAATTCCTGCCAGGCCTGTCACACCATCTGGGACAGCATCCAACTTCCACTCTGTGGCATAGTGTGTGCAGCTTCCCCGCCTGTACGGAATCGAAGTTCCTGGACAGTGGCCTCCGACATCCTGAGCCTAAGGATACCGACACAGCGGTTTCCAAAGAAACCGGAACCATCTGGTCCGCCATGATGACTGCGGGCAAGCACTCAGTTTCAAAAGTGGGCATGCGCATCATGCTACCGGGCGTGCACAAATCCTGCCGGAAATCTAAAAGACACCGGAAATAGAGTGGCCTTGAAATGGTAAGTGTTCTAGTCATTCCAGTGTTACTTTGCTGGCGGGACCGCGAGGTGCTTTGGAACTTTTCCATCCGGGACTCTTTGGCGTCAGTGGGCGGAAGTCGCAGCCCGGCGGGGCGAGCCGTGCGCAGAGCTCTCTGCGGTGCAGCGTGAGGTGAGTGGAGGCGCGGGGCGGGCGCTGGGCTGCCGAGCGCTGGCCCGTGCTGAGTGCCCGCTGGGGCGGCTGCAGGGGGATGCCGTGGATGAGGTGCGGGTCGTTCGATCGGTTTGCATTCCGCTCTTGCGGGTTTTCCGCGTCTTGTGTGTTTTGTCACTTCCCAGTGTGCTCCTGTGGGATCTCACGCCGTCTTCTGTGAAAATTGTCATGTCAGGACGTTCGGGGCAGGACTCAGAGTGGGCGCTGCGGGAGCCGGTCCCGGGTGGGAGCCGGGAGCTTCAGGACAGGGACCTTGAGGTGGCTTGTGATGCACTCAGGCTGTGATTGGCGAAGAAGTCCGCTCAGGCACCGGTGTAGCCTGGGGCGGTGTAGCGTGCTCGTCAGGACGACTCTGGTTGGGTAGTGTTTGCTTAGCCAGTGACTGTGAAGCTTGATGCACGCCGCCCTGCTACGTGAAGAGAAACGCCATCAGGTACACCAAAATAGAAAGTGTCAGACTCAGATGTCTCAGTCTCTAGCACCCTTTCTCTCTCCCTCTCCTCTGTGTGTGTGTGTGTGTGTGTGTGTGTGTGTGTGTGTGTGTCTGTGTCTGTGTCTGTCTGTCTGTCTGTGTTGGGTGGTTGCGGTTACACACTTTGCATCCTGCCTAGTGTCTAAGCTGCTGAGCTCAGAGACTTCGCTCTAAGGCCTGTAAAAGTAAGGAATTTCCTTTGTTTTGTGGGCTGCTGTTGGATCTCCTTTACCAGTTCCAAACCCCCTATGGGTGGCTAGCATTATTGAAGGAAATAAACAGGAATATTAAAAACAAATTCTGGACCACTGCCACTGGTGGTGGCATACGTCTTTATTTTCAGAACTCAGGAGGCAGAGGCAGGGGAAACTCTGAGTTCCAGGCCAGCTGTGTCTACATAATGAGTTCCAAGACAGTTAGCCACATAGAGACTCTGTCTCAAAAAACCAAACCAGCGCGCGCGCGCGGGCACACACACACACACACACACACACACACACACACACACACACACACCTCATTCTTTGGGCCACATTAGTGTCACATTTGGGGATCCTTTGGAGATTATGTACATCTCTTTGGGATTAAAGATTGGAAGTTGACCAATATGAGGGTGCTTCCAATTGGGTTATATTATTTGTACCTCAACATTTGTGCTGATTTAGAGTCCTTAAAAAAAGTGTATTAGGCTGGGTGTGGTGGCACATGCCTTTAATCTCAGCACTGGTGAAGCTGAGGCATTGTGAGTTCAAGGCCAGCCTGGCCTACATAGCAAGTTCCAGGACAGCCAAAGCTACATAGTAGACCCCATTTCAAAAACAAACTAAAAAACAATCACATACACACACACACACACACACACACACACACACCAAAAGTATATTATACCCTCTTGGAAGCATTTTTGGGTACTAGGTCAGTAATGGTTTAAGGTGCATGTCAGTGACTAGGAGGCTGTTTGTAATCTGGCAGTCCTGTTCTCCACTGGTTGGAGATTACTAGAACTTACTGGTGTCAGTGGCTGCATTTTGCTGGAGAGGGGACATCTCATGAATAGACTACAAGTGTTAAGTGTGGAGAGGTCCTGGTGCATTTTCTTAAGTTTTTCTGGGTGCACACACACACACACACACGTGTGTGTGTGTGTGTGTGTGTGTGTGTGTGTGTGTGTTGGGGTGTGAGGGTTGGGTGAGTGAATTTTTCGTGACATGGTTGTGTGTGGACAGGGAAATGTCTAGAAACTCAGGCTAGAATCAGAATTGGCTGCCACCCTGAGCTCTCTGGGCAACAGGAAACAGAAATGCTGTTTTTAGATGCTTACAGCAGAAGGGCCCACATGGAATATGGTGGCCAGTGTGTTCCTTAGAATGAAAACAGCTTGAATCCGTGCCCCTGTTCATGTCTTTAGTGACCTGAAGCAAATTAAACAGAATGCTAATGCTTACTATGTGTAGCTGGAAAGGTTGTTTGAAACAAAATCAAAATTGAGTCAGCAGCTTACTGAGTTTTTATTAGTATTTTCTGCCTTCCAGGCAGGTGCTGAAGGTTTAGTGAGCCTTGTCTGGCATGGCATTCTGGATCCCTGTAGTAAATACCTGTGTCCTTATTTTGTAAACAACTAGGTTAGCATGTTGCTTTTCTCCTTAAAATGTAAGCACTGCAAGTGTGTCCTTCCTTCCAAGCTGATGGTTTTTACATTTGTTTTTGTTTTCTTTTGCTGTTTGTTTTATAATGCCGACTAACAACGAGCATGGCTTTTATGTGTCCTCTGCCATGCCTACTTGTAACCTTCCACATGAGCCTGTACCAGTTCATAACTCAGGGTCTGACGTTGGATCGTTGTCTTTTAGGGATTTCCCGTGTCTCAGAGCTCCTGGGACCTCCGAAATCATTCAGGCCTCAGGATTTCCTGCTGTGCCACAGCTAGCCTTGCTTCAGCGCCCTTGACTCTTGAGGAATTTGGATTTGCTACCAAGACACATCAAGAATAGACGACCAGAGGGGACATGGCTGCTGATACAAATTTCCAACAAAAGATCCAACCAATGGGTGCAGAGGAGCAGCATGGGTCATGTGAGGTGAGTGGGAGTGACTTCATACTTGGTTCTTCAGGACCTGAGGGCAGACATAAGAAGCTGCAGACTCTGTTACCTACTTCTGAGGTGATCTTTAATCTGGTTAAGAGTAGACTATATGTGTCCCACACCAACTAGTGACCCCTCTCCTCCCTTAATCTTTTTTTCTTTGGAAACAGGGTCTTACTGTGTATGTGAGGCTGGCCTGGAACTTTCTGTACAGTCCAGGCTGCCATCAAACTCAACACTTTTCTTGCGCTAGCCTCTCTAGTGCTGGGATTATAGGCCTACATCACTATAGATATTGCCTCATCCATTTTTTAAAAATTACTATAGATGTTGTATTGTTTCATCTATTTTTTTTTCTTACTGACAAGCTCTTCCTCTCTCTTCAGCTTTCTGTTTTATATTTGTTCCTCTTTCACACCTTGCCATCCCTAGTTCTATGCCCATTCTTGTAAGAAACGGTGCATCTGGAGATGTATGGTTTTGTTGGTTGTTATCATGGGTGAAGGAATTTTAAAATGGACTCAGAAGGAGGCCTCAGGACTATTAGAGTTTTAGGGAAAACAGAGAAACTAACAAGGAAGATACCCTGAAAGTCTGTAGTTGCTGAGAAGAGGAAACGGAGGAGAGGAAAGATAAACAAGCCTTATATTTAGGCAGTGAGGCCGGCAAGTCACAGTAGGAAGGGGCAGCTGTGGCTAGTTGGATTTTCAGAAGTACTCAGGAAGCCTAGTATCTTAGTAGGAAACCATGCTCAGTAGGGTTTTGGCCAGGATTTGAAAAAGAGAAGGAAAAGTTAGTTTCTGTGTTAACGGTGACTGACTAGGGTCATAATTATTCCACCCAACTCTAGCATTTCTTCAGGTGAGTCTATTTTCCTGTCGGGCATCTCCTGTCCAAGTGATGGTAGCCAGGAGTTGGGTTAACTCTTCCAGGAGGGGACAATAGTTTGTAAAGTTCCAGTTTTTGGTGAAGGTTGGAATGTCCTGTTTCTATCTTGGGCTAGAGGTAAAACTGAGAATCCATTCTTTTGTGTGTGTGGTGTGTGTGTATGTGTTTATGATTATGTGATTGCTGTTATGGGCATGGAGGTCAGAGGACACTTTGTAGTTCTCTCTTTCTACCTGTGTGTGGATTCCAGTGATGAGGTGCAAGTGGGCAGGTTTGTTAAGCAAGCACCTTGCCCACTGAGCCATCTCACCAGGCCCAATTACTGTTATTTGTTGAATGAAAAATGAAATAAAGAGAGGAAGACATGACTACTCCTACTAAAGTGTGGAGAAGATTTTTATTGTAGACAGAAAGGAGAAAGCAGGCAGAGAGGAGAATCCAGGCTGAACATGGCAGGCTGACTAGAGCAGATCATGAGAAGAGCATGAGAAGAGCAGAGGCCAAGAGAGCTGCATCCTGAAGTAGTTATAGAGGGATCTGACATTAAAGGTGTCTTCTACCACACTTGGCTATTTATTTTTTAAAGCTTTTAAAAAATATTTATGTATGTGTTTGTGCCTGCATGAGTTTGCACATGTACACTCTGCAAGCAGGAAGCCAGAGAGAATGTAGAATCCACTGGAACTGGAGTTACAGGCAGTTGTGAACCACCATTTGAATCCTGGGAATTGAACCTGGGTCCTTTGCAAAAGCAGTCAGTGCTCTTAACTGCTGAGCTATCTTTCAGTACTATTAATTTTTAATATGCTGCTTCCCTCATTTTTTTTTGTTAATTTTTAATTACATTATTCCTTTATATGTGCATGTGTCACAAAGTATAGGTGTCAGAGGACAACTTGTGGGAATCAGTTCTGTCTACTCTGTGGGTCCTGGGGATCAAATTTCCATCATCATTCTTGATGGAGTTGCCTGTGTCTGCAGAGCCATCTTTCAGCTCAGTTACTGTTCTTTTTTAAAAGGAATGTTAGGTCCCTAGAGAGAGAAGTTAGCAGCTAATACTGGCTGCTTTAGCAGAACAGTCAAGTTTGGTTCCTAGACAGTTTATAGCCTCCAGTTCCAGGGCATCCAATGGCTACATAAGCCTGTAGACACAAAACACTTACACAGTTAAAAAAAATTATCTTAAAAAAGAAAAGGGGAATTTTAAGTCCCTTTTGATGTTTGATTACTTGCATTTAGTTCTGTTCTTGTACTTTGTGATACTTTGAAATATGATTTTTCTGGATGGATATTTTGAGTTTAAAAAATTTAAGCTTTGTGTGTTGTTTTGCTTTATCCTGTGCAGTGTCTTACATTCGTCCGGATCTCATCAGTGGTCCTTAGCCACTTTGTGCCCCTTCCCCAGTCTCCTCCAGTCTCAAAGCCTTCCACTGCCCTCAGTATTAAGTTCCTTCCTCCTATTAAGTTCCTTCCTCCCGAGAGAGACAAGTTCTCATTTACCCTTGCTACTTGCGCTAGTACTTGCTCTGTAGACCAGGTTGGCCTTGAACTTGAAGAAATTTGACTATCTCCTAAGTGCTTGGACTAACTTTTTTTTCTTTTCTTTTTCAAGATTTATTTATTATGTATACCGTGTTCTGCCTGCATGTATCCCTGCAGGCCAGAAGAGGGCGCCAGATCTCTTTACAGATGGTTGTGTGAGAGCACCTTGTGGTTGCTGGGAATTGAACTCAGGACCTATGGAAGAACAGCCAGTGCTCCTAACCACTGAGCCATCTCTCCAGCCCTTGGACTAAGTTCTTGTAAAAGCTTCTTCCACATACAATTGAATGAGCAACAGACTTGCTTGTATAGTAAAGGAACAGGAGAGTTAAGCTTCCTCAGTTGAGTGGGAAATGCTTGTATAATTGCCACGGCTCCCTCTACTGGAATGTCTAAAATTGGCCACACCAAAAATATCAAGTGTAGATGTGCTTGTGGCCCAAGGAAGCAGAAGGTACTGTTGGTGCCGCTGCTGAGAGAATCAGTTAGTCAAGCCAGTTGGGAAAACTGCAATCTTTTGTGAAGTGTGTATTGTCCGACACCCAGCAGATACGCCCAGCATTTTCCCTGCTCAGGATAAATGCAGCAAGGTAGAGCTGTGCAGATTCAGTAATTGTATTGATCGGCTCATTGGAAGCAGGGCATTTACTTGCGGATTTAATTTATATATTTATAAACATGTGGCTGAGATTACGTAGTGGTGTCCATTTACTTTTTGAGCATCTAGTTATTTGGTCATTGTTTTATATTTTCCTCACTCCCAGGCTTCTGTGTTTCTTGATAGGGTTTTATATAATCCACACTAGTCTCAAACTCCCTGTGTAGCTGACATTTCTGTTGAACTCCTAATCCTCCTGCCTCTGCCTTCTAAGGGCTGGGATTGCAAGCATATACCATCACACGTGGCTTCTTTTCTTTCCTTGTTTTTTGTTCCTGTTGATGTTTGCTTATGTTTTAGTATTTTTTTTTTTTTTTTTTGGGAACTTTTGATTCTGATTTTCCTCTATTTTTCAGATATCCTTTTTTCTTTTTCTTTTTTTTTAATTTCTTTTTTTATTTAATTTTATATAACAAAGTCCAATTAAATGAAAACAAACATTTATACACAATGTTTGGGAATTTGGGTGTCGTTCTTTCCAAAATACTTCCTGCTGGTAAGGGGCGCTGTCTTGGGGGATTCGAAGAAGATTCAGATATCCTAGCTGTAGTCTGTAGGGCTGTTTTGTCCAGCTGTTTGGAATGTAGGATCAGCTTGTACTCTGTTTCAGGCGGTCTGGTGTGATCAAACCACATTAGTCTGGAAGGAATCCACATCTTTTCATTTTCTGTGGAAACAAAAATAGAAATACTTTTCCCCAGTAACTTGTTCTTCAACTTAAATTTTGGAGTCAAAGCGTTTTTTTTTTTTTTTTTTTTTTTTAATTTATTATTTTACATGTCGATCCCAGTTCCCTCTCCCTCCCTCCCTCCCTCCCCTCTAGCCCTCCCTCCCTCCCTCCCTCCCTTTTGCCCTCTCTGCCCTCTCCCATGCACTCTAAACACCCTCCCCTCCCAACCCCCCACCACAATACCATATGTAGGGGAATGCCATCCAGTTGGGGTCATGGAGATCTGACAGGTCCTGTGAAGTAGGGACTAGGGCTTCTCTCCTATCTCTAGAATAAGGCAATTATCCCTCCATGGGGCATATGTTTGCAAAGTCCTTTTGTGCACCAGGGATACATCCTGGCTCCACTGTCTGAGATTTCACAGACTGCTCAGTCATTCTGGCTGAGACCCACACTCAGGGGGGCCCGGGTCAGTCCCATGCTGGCTTCCCAGCTATCAGTCTGGTGGCCCATTAGCTCCTCCTTGTTCAGGTAAGCTGTCTCTATGTACTTCTACCGCATGGTCTTGTCCTCTCCATCTGCTTCTGGGTTCTAGTTCGACTCAGTGTTTATGTATGGGTGTTTGCTCCTGTTTTCAACAGGCATTAGTTGAGGACTCCATGGAGAAGTTAGTTGTTGATCTCACTCTCCGGGAAGGGCATTTATGATAGCCTTTCCACGGAAGCTGAGATTGTTAGTTGGCAGCAGTCTTGTAGTTCCCTCGACCTTTCTTTGTGTTCAACTTTATCTTCAAACCAATATTGGCTCCCTCTTTTATGTTCTCTCTCTCTGTCTCTGTCTCTCTCTCTCTCTCCTTTCCTATTTTCCATTCCTAACCAGGCTCAATCCTCCTGGTCGCACATGCCTTCCTCTCCTCCCTCTCATTTTCTCCTACTTCTCTCTCCATTAGCTGTCCTCCCCCACTTTACCTGAGGTCTGGGGGACTTGTCCCTTCCCAGTTCTGTGAGGACTTTATATGAATCTCTTAGAATACAACTTGTATCCAAGTTCCTCTGGTGATATGAATTATAGGCTGGTGATCATTTGATCTAGTTCTAAAATCCATATATGAGTGAGTACATACTGTGTTTCTCTTTTTGTGACTGGGTTGCCTCATTCAGGATGGTTTCTTCAAGTGCCATCCACTTGCCTGTGAATTTCAAGATACCATTATTTTTTTCTGCAGAGTAGTATTCC